AGATATAAGCAAGACAAAATTTAGCAGAACAACTTGTCTTTCGTCGCCAATCTCATGATACATAGCCAATAATGTATAGCGGATGCTATCAAGCTAGGCTAAAATTACATTTTACTGATTTCAAGGAATTTTAGTCAATATAGCAGACTGCACTATTCCTTAACTTTCTGATTTGATCCAGCTTAATTATTTTTTGCAGGCTGTTTTTATTACAGCAGTTTACGAAAATTAAAGTTTCAACTTTCGATTATGTTGAAAAGAGTTTCCAATTCTGGAGCTGCAACAGGATCTACAAAGTGAAAATATGTTTCAGTGTCCATTAAACAAAAGTGGAACTGCTGCAAGAAATGGACAAAGGTATATCCGTCTCAAATTTATGCGAGTATGGTATATCTGTCTCAAATTTATGCGAGTATGGCATTGGAAAGTCAACTGTATATGACAACAAAACAGAAAAAGGAACTTTTTTTGTGGATTCCGACACTCTGCTCGCAATGAATAATAGAAAAATGATTCGTTAAGCTATAAATGACGATCATGACAAAGTGATGACTGAATGGGTCAGACACCATCGCAGCGAGAACGTGCCATTGATGGGTCCAATGCTAATGGCTTCAGCTAAAATATTTCACTAAGAAATGAACTTAAAAACTGAGTGCACATATTCGACAGTTTGTTTAAGCAAATTTAAAAATTGCTGTGGTATAAGGCAATTAGGAATTTCAGGTGAAAAAGCTTCAGCTGATACTGAAGCTGCTGAACTAGTTGCAGATGAATTCATTAATAGTTCAAAGTTATCCCCATAACAAATTTTCATCACTGATGAAACTGGTCTTTTATGGCAATATGTACCACAAAATACCTTAGCAACCTCTATAGAAAAGGCTCTAACTCATGTCAAAGATTTCAAAGAGAGATTAACAATTTTGGCGTGCACAAATGCTGCAGGAACGCACAAGTGCAAACTTTTCATAATCGGGGGAAAAAAAAAATACACATTTGCACAATATATAATGGGAACTCTTTACTCCTTTAAATACCTAGAGCATTTAAAGGAGTAAAGAGTTCCCATTATAAATTGTGCAAATAAAAGAACATGGTTGAAACAAGTGTTAATGAATGATGGATTTGAAAATCATTTTATACCCAAGGCTCAGAATTTGGTTGGTTTACCTGATGACGCAAAAATAGTCCTGATTGTAGACGACTGTTCGGCTCATATTTCACTCAAAGTTTTAGTGAAAGATTCCGTATTATTCTTTCCTCCAAATTGTATGTCCATCATTCAGCCTATGGATATTAGAATAGTGTGCCCGCTGAAGTGCAAATATAAAGTAGGATTTCTAAAATCCATGTTAAATTTCTTGAATAATGGCTAGACTATTCAAGAATTTTTGAAATACTATAGCATAAAATCTGCCATGTGGATCATCGCAAGATCGTGGGAGGATGTGTCTCCAGATACTTTAAAAAACGCTTGGCATAATTTATGCCCAACTAACATATTTCATGGTGAGGCTGATGAATACGATAGCCGCAAACGTTAAGTTTTTCGGATAGTGCAAACCATAAATTAAACTTTCCAATTAATGGATTTTTTTAAAGACATTTGGAGATGCGGTAATAAATGATGATGATATAACAGAAGTTTTTCATTGTGATCACAGTGAACCAATTATCAATCGATTAACAGACAGTGAAACCTGTAGTATGTTTTTAGATCCAGAAAATACCACTACCGTTACTGAAGAAAAGGACAGAGAGGTTATTGATAACGAAAAAATTTCAATTGACAAGTCTGGAATTCTTGACACAGCAATTATAGGGTTTGAACAATGAAACTTTATAACTGAATAAGAAATTATGTCTGTCTACAGAATTAAAGATAAAATATTAGCACAAACATACAAAAAAAAGCAACTTAAAAAACTTACATTGAAAGAAATGTTTAATAAAGTAAACAATAAAATATTAAGCTTTTTTTTTTTTTTTTTTTTTTTGTAAGTTTCGATACCTTTTAGATCATAAATTTTTAGTTGGGCATAAATTTCATATTTTTAGTCCAAAGGGGCAATTTGCGCTAAAGGACTAGTATTTTCATTTTGGCATTTTGCATTGGTTCACTATAAATGTCTGATTTACTATGCAAATTGTTGTCACCAAATATTATCGTCCTGTATTATATTTAAAGAAATTAAATAATGAAGAATCTGTATAAATGCATGTATTTTTCTCGCATTGTTATAAAACAACAGTACATAGAGCCAGCTAATTTTGAATAACGTATGTTTCCACTGGAATGTGGGCATCTGCAAGTCCAAATTTGAAATTTTGAATTTGTTTTATTATCGATTTCATATACAGTACAGAGTCTTTAATCCGGACGTCCATAATCCGGAATGATCTATAATCTGGACCTCAAAGCTACAAACTTTCTGAGCATGCGTCAACACATAGCGTTTAATGTATAACGAACGGTATAAGCTAGGCAAAAATTATCTAATTATCTATTTCAGTTAATGTTGCAGATAGCGTTGTTCCTTAATCTTCTAACTGGATCCGGCTTATTATTTTTTGCAGATTGTTAGAGCAATTTTATAAGAAGCAAGCTTGAACTTTCGATTATGTCAAATAGAATATCCGATTCTGGAGCTGCCAAAGGATCTACAAAGCGAAAGCATGTTTCGATGTATCGCTTTCGATAGTGAAGAAAGTGACAAAGAGGTTATTAAAAATGGAAAAATTTCAATTGACAAGTTAGTCGGTATTCTCGACTCAGCAATTACAGGACTTAAACAGTGGAATTGAACAAGAAATTATGTCTTTTTATAGAATTAACCTTCTAAAACTGGGCCAAAATTCTCATAATATAGCCTTCAGACCTGCGCGTTTCGAAACAGTTTTGCCCCCTCCTTGACATTTTCCTAATGAGAAAAGTCGTTAGTCCCCCTCCATGGATGCAGTAAAATTTACATGTTTGTCGGGCGCTGTCCCACAGTAGATGGGTTGTTAGATTTGCGATTTTTTCGATGATTATTTTGCTTTCATTTAAATGAAGTTCTAAATAAATAGTGCATAAATAAATATGCACTACTGGATGCATATCCAGTGCACTATTTATTTAGAACAAAATGCATGCAATGTTTATATTTCACTCACTATTTCTGATCAATCTCGTAAATAATTTGTGAATTTTTTAACTTTGTTTTCACTCTTCATTTATATTCGTGTATTTTTGTATTAGAAATTAGAAAACGAGAATAAAATTTTACAAAATATAATAAATACGAACTAGCTTTGTAAGTCTGCAGGCTGGAATGTGATTTTTAATAACATATTTTCATTAACAAAATAATGGTAATGACTAATTTAATTAAATAATAATAACATTATTTATTACCATTAGATGATTAGAATGAGATTCAATACAATTAGATTTTGAGATGAACTTAACAGCAATAATAAAGCTTTACATAACAATAACAGAGCTTTAAATCTGCTTTTTTTGATAATTTTGTTATTATAATATAAAAAAGAAAATCCGAAATACATTGGTTGCGTTTCATCATTTAACTTTAACAAATATTACATTGGACTATCAGGCAAAGGAGGTATATCTTTAACGAGAATTTTTCTTGGTAAAATTGGCTTTTGTTTATGTTAGCAGAGAAAAAAAAAAAAAAAAAAATCTGTGACCAATACATGCAATCATCAAAAGTATTTTTCAGAACAGTTTAAAATGTTCATGAAGAATTAATTATACATCAATTTCTTTTCATAGGTAGAAATTTCCTATGAAAAGAAAGGTTGAAGTCTATTTCATTTTCAACGAATATTCTATTTGCACATAATATATTTTCTAATTTATTTTAAAAAGAGTAATCTTTCACGTTTTCAAAAGAATAAGGACATACTGGGTGTTGACACTTACAATGTAGTAAATCTGTTTTTCATATTTCTTCCAGTAATGAAAACGATTACCCTGGAATATTTTCAAAGCAAAACTAAGAAAACCCTTTACCCCAAATTTTGCATAAAGTATCTTCTCGTGTATTTTTTTTAATTAAAAGTGCAAAATTTTCCCTTTGAAAATATAAAAAAGCATGAACGGAGCAAAATTAATTCATGAGAAATAAGTTTGAAATGCAATAATTCCATCATAATATGAAACAGCGGAGAAAAGTGCAATACAGTTTATTTATTCACAAATAATCCCCTCATATGCGGAATTTATGTACTGTCGATTGAGAAATATAGGTTAGTAAATTAAACCGGTTATTTCAATACTTTTTCTTTATCAATTTTTTTTAACGGGCCTTTCAGTAGAGCGGCAAAGGTGGCTGAACACTTGTAGCTCGCTCGGGTTTGAATCCCGGCTAAAGGGTTAGATTCATGGTTTTTGTGTAATGTAAATGCAAGCCAGCTTCCCTTAGAAAGTCCTCCGCGAAGGCATCCCTCCCCTAGACAGGTAATTGTTATGTGCTTTGATGTAATTCAGTAAGCGAACAAAATTAATCCAATCAAATCCGAAGAATGGGTTGATTACATGTGGAGTTTTCCACCAGGAACATAAATGCGAGCAATTTTCTCTTAAAAAGGTTTACACGAAAGCATCCATCCCTTTAAGCAGATAGCGTTCGCGTGCTTGTTTGTAATCCAATCCTAATTCTCATACATTTAATAGTAAGTTGACATACACCTTATTACAGACAAAATAACAACCTTTTTTAAAGATTTTTTTTTATCAACTTGTCTGAATTCCCTTTATCTCTTGAGGAGTATAAGAATTTCAGCAAATGTTTATGTTATTTTATTTTATACATTTTTCAGGTGATATTAGATCATTCCGAATACAGGATATCCAGATTTCAGACTTGCACTTTACATCACCCCACCAAAAAAAAAAAAAAAAAAAAAAAAAAAAAAAAAAAAAAACTTTCTGTATATATACATATATACAGAAAAAGAAAATTGTAAAATCAGATAATTTTTTTCATTACCCCGACTGAGTGTATTCTTGCATTATATAAGCTACTCTCTGAACCAATTGGCTAGTTGGAATGGGTTCTCCATATCTCAGATAATATTGCTGTGCTAATTTGCGGGCTCGTCTCACCAACAATCTAAAAAGAATATATTTACAGTTAGTTTACTAAATAATAAGTTGATAAATAATACTGTAACAGCAAAAATATATTTTGATCTTGCATTTATTTACTTAAAATAATAGGCATTAAATATCTATAAAATTAAATTACTTACATTTTCCCCAATCAAAATGAAGTTTTATAATATTTATAAACATAAAACACAGATGATGATGGAAAAAATTTGGAAGATGTGCTTAGATGCTAAATACTTTCAGTACTTAGATACTAAAAACATGATACAGGTAATTGCTCTTTGTTAGGGTTCAGCCTAAACCCAAAACTATTTCTACTGCAGGCATAAGGTAAATACTGAAAAAACTAAAGAATCACTATAAGCAAATGAATAATATATATGCACTGATAGTGGTCACACTGGCTACATAGAACCATTCATTCTATTTAACCCTTTGAGGGGCGGTATATAAAATAATTTAAATTGTACTAAAATTTTGCATGAACTATAACTTATGGACCCTAAGGACGCAAAATTGAGACTTAAAAAAAAAAATCTAGAGCGAAATCCTGAATTTTGAGAGCCGGTATATATTTTATACTGGCGCCCCTCTAAGACATTTTTTCCCAGGTAGCTGCCAACTGCTAATTTTTGTTTTTTAAATTAATTTTGCGTACTTTTGATGTGCTTCTTTAGTGATGAGTGCTTGAATATACAAGATGTATTCGAAAAGTTTGGTGATTGGTCTCATAATTAAAAAACTGTGCCGGTTAGGATCTTGCACTCACACAGACGCAGTGAGAGAAATGTCATCTAGAGTCATCTAACAGCCATTTTACGACAGATAAGAGGAAGCGCACGCTATGAGCAGTTTAACACAGCCAGTGTGAGAAAGACTGTCAGTGTGACATGGAGCAACACATAAACATGAAGTTTTGCTTCAAGTCAGGCAAAACGGCGACAGAGACACATGACATGTTAGTGAAAGTTTACGGTCAGGAAGCAGTGAGTAAAAAGTGTGTTTATGAGTGGTTTAAATGCTTTACAGACGGAAAGGAGGATGTCAAAGATAAGCCGCGGTCGGGGCGCCCTACGACAAGCACAACTCCAGACAACGTGGAACGAGTTCAACAGATGCTTGCGGCAGATCGACGACTATCTTTAAGAATAACACTTTTCCGACATTACTGAGATCCAATAACATGTGACAACGGTGCTTCAAGCCATACTGAAAGAAGCATTTGCAGACAGTTTCCAACAATTGTACACCCAATGTCAAAAGTGTATTGTTGCTAATGGCGAATACTTTGAAGGCCAGTAAAGCTATTTTGCTTGTTTCTCTTGTTTCCTTTTTTTTTATGGTAAAATTTACCAAACTTTTCGAACACACCTTGTAGTTATGCAAGTCTAAAGACAAAAAATTTTAAAAATAAAATTTTAAGTTTTTATGCACTTTGAGGATGCAACCCAGCGGAACATACTTATGTAAAATATGGGCAATAAGCTTTTCAAGTTGAGTTAAATTCAATATTATTATTTTATAAAAAAATTTAGCAAATATAACACTGCACGTGTAAATCGTATCATGCTGTAACTGAACTAGTATAATATTACAAGCAGATGCAACTCAGCCGAAAATTAAAAATAATTGAAAAATGAAACACTACAACTCAGCTGAGAAAGTATGTTGTATTTTTGAAGTTGTATTTTATGCTTTAGATAATATGTGAAAAAAACCATGCTTCATTCTATGATACGAAGAATCGCCTCTCCTCCACGCACACACACTTTAGATGATAGAGGACCGTAAGGTTACCTTTTTTATTTTTTGTAAATATAGGTTGTAATATATCTTTTTGTTCAGGAAGAAATGCCGTTAAACAATTTTATTATTTGATACACCTCAAAGCTCTTATTCCGGTTTTCAACCCCCTTTGGCTTCCTAGGGGCTCCTTTTCAACTTTTGGATAAACATGGCATCTAAATTGGGCCTTAGAAACATTTTCCCTCCTTTCGTCAACTGTGAAAATTTATTTCAGAAACAACCTATTTGTATCAAACAGAGGGCAAATTTCTCTTGTGTTCTCTAGTCTTTCATCTGAAATTAACGAAGAATTAAAAAGAATTACCCTAAAGAATAAAAGCATTCTTTCAAACCAGCAGTTTTTGTGATTACACTATGAGATGGAACTTAAGTACATTCCCATTTTAAGCGAGCTTTTCCCTCTTATCACACCTCAAAGGGAAGAAGGCGTGACTCCCGAATGACAAATTGATTGTCAATCACCTCTTTTCATTTTCCTTGCATTCTAGGATTTTGGAGAACACGAAGCAACGGGTGTCTTTTGGGGGCTAGCCACATTTAACCCCCACAATTGTATAAAGTTTTGACCCCAGACGGCAATTTTGAAATTGATGAGTCTTTCTCTTGGGAAAGGGATAAGTGCTGAAATACAAATTTTAGATAAACACAGACGAATGAAACTTGAGCTAAGTACACAAAGAATAAATGAAACTAATATACTTGTATTCAGTCCTAGCGCAAACTCCCCATTCCTTCATGAACATAATATTTAATCCTAAACGACTTATAAATTAATCATGAAAAATTATTATATCATAAACTGTTATAATAATAAAGAAATTCTGTCATGTCATAGAGTAGAAAAGGAGAAGATTGGTGCTGCCATCTATTGGCGTGGTACCCTCAGTGTGGGCGCAGGTATATATTATACATTATATACCGGTTTTAAAATCATATAAATAATCTTTTTTTAATTATCACATTTGACTGAAATGAAGTAAATATATAAGATTCAGCATGTATACGTCATACATTTGCAGATTTTGAATTTTTTTCTTTCCCTCCAATAGAATTTATCAATCTTCCAACATGATACCTTGGAACGAGGTATATTAATTTCATAACTGAAAAATACTGAGGATTCATAGGGTGATGCTGCCATTTAGAATCGAAAGAAAACACTAGACACTTACGATTACAGCTTTTGGTATAGAAAATTTTGCATTTTTTCGGAGGTTAAAAAATTGACAAACAACCGGTATATATTATATACTGGTGCCCTTCAAAGGGTTAATGATTAAAAGAAATTAAAAATTTTGTTTTACTTAAGAACTATAAATATGTACAAAAATTATATCTTTTTCTTAGCATTATTCTTATATGATAGATCTTATCTAAAGAAGGAAATCTAAATTTACTACTACTAAGGATGAAGGTGATATTCATCGCAAAAGTCTATTAATATTACTTTTATCTTTGAATCCCACCAGTACGAAATAAAAATAATCATGAAATATTATATGAAATCTTTACATTGTATAAATAAGACCAACTGAGAAGATAATCCCAGCTGGTAATGTCTTTTGGGGGCTAGCCACATTTAACCCCTACAATTGTGTAAAGAATGAAATGTACATTTTGGAGTGAGAGCAAAGTTAGAGAACAAGAAGTAAAACAATTTAAAGAGAAAGATTTATCTACATATATTGAGTTCTTAATCATATTTTTAAAAGAATAAAATTCTCAAAATTTAGTGATAAGGAATCCTCAAATAAACAGCTATGAAGACATTGAAAGACAGTGATATGTATTCAGGACTGCAGAAGCACTGACAAAAGGGACAAAATTCTTGATTTTTAGGAATAAGGTTTCTGAAGTGAAAAATAGTACAGAAGAACAAATTATTTAACTTATTTCATAATTTAAAAAACATTACATACAGCTACACTATGCTTTAATTATTTACCAGAAGTAATTTAAAGAATATTTCCAGCAATGACAAATAAATGAAATATGAAATTAACTATAAATTTCGGTTAGAGTAGACTTTAAGGTACCCCTTGTATTATGGCGAAGCTGTTGTTTCATTTATCGCCAAGTTGTTGTTTCATTTATGGTAGCCCTGAGTAGTTGAATGTTCTGGAAATCTTATTGTGACATAACTGGGTGCACGATTCTGGGAAATTTTGAATCATAGGATATTTTGTAAGCACTTTTGTGGGGTGTGTTGGTTTTATTGTTTAGACGGCTGAATGTAGTAAGATTAATTTGAAGTTTCTGTACGATTTGGAACAAAAGGGGAAAAGAGCGTTAATTGACAATGGCGTGTAAATGAAAGTTTACTTAGTAGCCATTATAAGTGTTCTGTATGTAGGAAGGATATGCATCTAGTCGAACGTAAAAATTTGTTTAGATGGATTTGTAGGAAAAAAGGTTCAGATGTGGCGATGCCGATATATGCATTCGAGATCAGATAATTTTAGGAAGTTTTTGGATGCTGTTAAGGAATTTTGTGTGCCACAGACTAAAGGCAAAGCAACTTCTAAATAGGGTAAGTGGATATTTGCTTTGCGCTTAAATGTATAAGATGTTTTTCCTTTTTTATGTTATTTTATTGTTTAGTTTAAAATGTTGTTTATTGAGATTATGTATTTTTTTGTTTGTCTGTATTGTAGAATTGGGTGCTCCTTTTGACTTTTTAAGTGAAAATATATTGATGTGTACATGGACAAAGTGAAGGGAGTGTGCAATGCAAGTTTGTGCAATTCTTGGATTTTTTAAAGTGAAAATAGGTCGACGTGTACATGGTAAGAATTTTATTATATAAAGTCAAGGGAGTGAGCAATGCCATTTTTTTTGCTATTCGAGGATTTTTTTTAAGTGAAAAATAGGTCGATGTGTACATGGATACCGAGTTTGTGCAATTCTTTGTCTTGTTATTTTGGCTTTGTGCAGTGCATTATGCAAGCCAGAATAATAAGTCAAAGAATTGCACAACTCGGTATCTATGTACTGCCAAAAATCGCCAAGTTTTGCCAAGGGATATCCTAAAATATACTTTTACCTAAACTTCATTGAAGAAAGATTCTTTGATGAAGTTCAAATTTAAGCATTCATAAATGACAAATTTTAATACTTATGAATGAATTAATTTAGTTTCTGAATTAATGAATTAGAACGAATTAGTTCTGCTAAAATACTAAATAAATATGTCCAGCATTCTTTTGTAAGAAAATATATAAGTATATTAAACAAATGAAATACCTGTACATGGCATATGACATAGCTAAAATATCTCTGTGTATACTAAAAAACTAAATAACAAACATGTAAGCTCCATAAATAATAACCGTGATGATAGTTCTGGCTTTTATTTATTTTTACTTGTTTTGTGTTAACTCGGCAGTTTTACTTTGAGTTTATCAACAATAATAAGACAGAGATATCAAAAATGCCCTAAACAAACAGAAGCAAATATAAATTTAGTACTTCTAATACTTTTTTGTTACCTAAGTTTGTGAACAGTATTTTTGCAGAATGGCCAACCATGCTGCAAATTTTACTGATGACTCGATGATGTCACAATCTGGATTTAAAGAATTCCTACTTTTAAATCAATGTTAGTAAACAGAATATCATAAATTACCCATTTTTAATGATTATATGCTACAATTTAATCTTGTAGTTAATAGCTGCACTGTTCAGGAATGCAGACATAAGTGCAGTAACAATTTATGTAAATATTTGTTATGAATACAATAGCTAAATGACAAGATACTTTTCAATGGGCAAAAACCAAAAAACTTGGCAAAAACCAAGTAGTATTGACTTTGTGGCATGATTTGGGATATTCAAGAAATCCTCTTTTTTGCCAATATCATTTATTATTCAGAACAAAGAAATGACAGTCCAAATAATTATGAGACAGTCAGTATGATCAATCTTAATTAAATTTTCAACATGATTTTGGTGCTATTCTCTGGAGCTTAAACAACAAATTATTTTCAGGGAGTATTTTTAAGATTTTTTACCCTTAATTCTTGACTGTGTAGCTGGGGGCTGGGGGGGGGGGAATATCAAATGCATTCCCGTTTCTGAAGATTCCTCTCCAGTGAAGCTATTTATTTTCTTACTGCTTTTATTTCTTTCTGCATACTGATCATAATGAATGTGCCTCCAAAATGCTTTAAGAATACAAAGTTCTAGCTTTTCTTACCATTTGAGAAATCATTCATAAACACTGAGGAATGCAATAAAGTACTATTAATTAATATAGGATTAACATATAATTCCAGCTTCGCAGAACCGTTAAAGTTATTATAAAACACCTGTAGGAGATTAGTAATCCTTATGATTCTCAAAACTAACTAAATTCTAAACCTATTTTTTTAAAAAAACTTCACCGGTACTTTTCTGTTAATGGCTCAACTCTTAGCACCAAACATACACATAGATGCAAAATCTAAATTGATGGTGGTAACCCTAGCAATACATAAAGCATCATGGGGGAGAATTTTCAATGACAATAGTAAAATAATTACCTATAGTCTGGACCCATGCCACTGTACACCATTCCAATATGATCTGTTACCATTTCTACTTTATGAATGCTATGTTCTTCATACAAAACAGATTTATAGTTTTTTTCAGTTGCAAGAACTACACCATTTGATGCTAAAAATAAAAATAAATATCCTTTATTAAAATTATACCAAAAATTATTAAACAGATATGTTATTTTTAAAGTTGTAGAATTTAGAAAAACAATCATCATATTTTAATAGCAGTAAACATTTGTTTGTTAAGAATTCATCAGCAATGACAGAACCCATTGGTCATTCAGCTGTCTCATCACTAATAACATGCTCAGATGCAACCCATATTGTACCCATGAATGGAAGGAAAGCATCAAATTTAGTTAATTATTACCACAAATGTGCATATTAATCCAATTTCAGTGTATTTATTTAGTTAGTTTAAGAGTGTTATGGTTATTTTTAAAACCAGTTGGCAGGATATATGATATTTTGGCACTCTGGTGTTATCTGTGCAACCCTTCTGCTAAATCGGCAATTGTCTTTTTCGCCAATCTACCATATGAAATAGAAGTTATTAAAAAAAAAAATAATACTAGCATGCATAAAACAGCAACAAATTAATGAAATTTAAAATGCATTACATATGTGTGATAAGACTTTTGGATTAATGACAGCTGTACAAGTGATTGAGATTATAATAAAAGAAAATACTTGCATGTTATCTGCTTACTGCATGTTACCTTTTGGTACCAAGATAACTCTGGCAACAATTTGATTACCAGAGATTTAAATTAATGTTACACAATGCAAATATCCATTTATGAAATCCTTATTATTATTATTATTTTAAATTGAATGCTGTTTAATTCCTTGTACCAACAGTAAATAAATATATGGCTGTTAATTGATCTGGCTTCCTTCTACTCTTATTTTTATAGTCTGTTTGTGCTGTTTTACAGTCTGTTTTAATACACAATTATATTTTTTTGTTTCAACGGAATTTTCAAATACGTGTTGTGGATTGTCTGCAAGAAAAGCAACTGCAGGAAATTTTCTACAGGAATACAGTATTTTGATACAAAATCACTAAAAGGAACAACTGTGTTGTATCCTATTATAAAGCAATCGCCATAAAATCTTCCCAGAACAGAAGAAAGGAAAAAAAAATAGATACTTCCGATTTTATCAAATTACAATACATTTTATACATTCTGGAATTCCCCCTTTCTAACAGCTAAACATTTGTTTTTAAGAATTCATCAGCAATGACAGAACCCATTGGTCTTCAGCTGTCTCATCATAATAACATGCTCAGATGCAACCCAATTGTACCCATGAATGAAGGAAAGCATCAAATTTAGTTAATTATTACACAAATGTGCATATTAATCCAATTTCAGTGATTATTTAGTTAGTTAAGAGTTATGGTATTTTTAAAACCAGTTGGCAGGATATATGATATTTGGCACTCTGGTGTTATCTGTGCAACCCTTCTGCTAAATCGCAATTGTCTTTTTCGCCAATCTACCATATGAAATAGAAGTTAAAAAAAAAAAAAATAATACTAGCATGCATTAAAACAGCAACAAATTAATGAAATTTCAAATGCATTACAATATGTGTGATAGACTTTTGGGATTAATGACAGCTGTACAAGTGATTGAGATTATAATAAAGAAAATACTTGCTGTTATCTGCTTTATGCATGTTACCTTTTGGTACCAAGATAACTCTGGCAACAATTTGATACCAGAGATTTAATTCATGTTACACTAATGCAAATATCCAATTTATGAAACCTTATTATTATTATTATTTTAAATTTGAATGTGTTAATTCCTTGCACCAACATAAAAAAATATATGGCTGTTAATTGATCGGCTTCCTTCTACTCTTATTTTATGTCTTTTTGTGCTTTTACAGTCTGTTTTAATACACAAATTATATTTTTTTTTCAAACGGAATTTTCAAATACGTGTTGTGGGATTGCTGCAAAGAAAAGCACTGCAGGAAATTTTCACAGGAATACAGTTTTGATACAAAATCACTAAAAGGAACAACTGTGTTGTATCTATTTATAAAGCAATCGCCATAAAATCTTCCCAGAACAGAAGAAAGGAAAAAAAAAATAGATACTTTCCGATTTTTATCAAATTACAATACATTTTATACATTCTTGGAATTCCCCCCCTTTCTAACAGCTAAACATTTGTTTGTTAAGAATTCATCAGCAATGACAGAACCCATTGGTCATTCAGCTGTCTCATCACTAATAACATGCTCAGATGCAACCCATATTGTACCCATGAATGGAAGGAAAGCATCAATTTAGTTAATTATTACCACAAATGGCATATTAATCCAATTTCGTTTTATTTAGTAGTTTAAGGGTTATGGTTATTTTTAAACCAGTTGGCAGGATATATGATATTTTGGCACTCTGGTGTTATCTGTGCAACCCTTCTGCTAAATCGGCAATTGTCTTTTTCGCCAATCTACCATATGAAATAGAAGTTATTAAAAAAAAAAATAATACTAGCATGCATAAAACAGCAACAAATTAATGAAATTTAAAATGCATTACAATATGTGTGATAAGACTTTTGGGATTAATGACAGCTGTACAAGTGATTGAGATTATAATAAAAGAAAATACTTGCATGTTATCTGCTTTACTGCATGTTACCTTTTGGTACCAAGATAACTCTGGCAACAATTTGATTACCAGAGATTTAAATTAATGTTACACTAATGCAAATATCCAATTTATGAAATCCTTATTATTATTATTATTTTAAATTTGAATGCTGTTAATTCCTTGCACCAACAGTAAATAAAATATATGGCTGTTAATTGATCTGGCTTCCTTCTACTCTTATTTTTATAGTCTGTTTTGTGCTGTTTTACAGTCTGTTTTAATACACAAATTATATTTTTTTGTTTCAAACGGAATTTTCAAATACGTGTTGTGGGATTTGTCTGCAAGAAAAGCAACTGCAGGAAATTTTCTACAGGAATACAGTATTTTGATACAAAATCACTAAAAGGAACAACTGTGTTGTATCTATTTATAAAGCAATCGCCATAAAATCTTCCCAGAACAGAAGAAAGGAAAAAAAAAATAGATACTTTCCGATTTTTATCAAATTACAATCATTTTATAAATTTTATTCCCCCCTTTCAACAGCTAAACATTTGTTTTAAGAATTCATCAGCAATGACAGCCATGGCATTAGCTGTCTCATCCAATAAATGCTCAGATGCAACCATATTGTACCATGAATGGAAGGAAAGCATCAAATTAGTTAATTATTACCACAAATGTTGCATATTAATCCAATTTCAGTGTATTATTAGTTAGTTTAAGAGTGTTATGGTTATTTTAAAACAGTTGGCAGGATATATGATATTTGGCACTCTGGTGTTATCGTGCAACCCTTCTGCAAATCGGCAATGTCTTTTCGCCAATCTACCATATGAAATAGAAGTTATTAAAAAAAAAATAATACTAGCATGCATAAAACAGCAACAAATTTGAAATTTAAAATGCATTACATATGTGTGATAAGATTTGGGATTAATGACAGCTGTACAAGTGATGAGATTATAATAAAAGAAAATATTGCAGTTATCTGCTTTACTGCATGTTACCTTTTGGTACCAAGATTGGCAACATTTGATTACCAGAGATTTAAATAATGTTACCTAATGCAAAATCCAATTTATGAAATCCTTATTATTATTATTATTTTAAATTGAATGCTGTTAATTCCTTGCACCAACAGAAATAAAATATATGGGTTAATTGATCTGGCTTCTTTACTCTTATTTTTATAGTCTGTTTTGTGCTGTTTTACAGTCTGTTTTAATACACAAATTATATTTTTTGTTTAAACGGAATTTTCAAATAGTGTTGTGGGATTTGTCTGCAAGAAAGCAACTGCAGGAAATTTCTACAGGAATACAGTATTTTGATACAAAATCACTAAAGGAACAATTGTTGTATCTATTTAAAAGCAATCGCCCATAAATTTCCCGAACAGAAGAAAGGAAAAAAAAAAAAATAGATACGTTCCGATTTTTATAAATTACAATACATTTTATACATTCTTGGAATTCCCCCCCTTTCTAACAGCTAAACATTTGTTTGTTAAGAATTCATCAGCAATGACAGAACCCATTGGTCATTCAGCTGTCTCATCACTAATAACATGCTCAGATGCAACCCATATTGTACCCATGAATGGAAGGAAAGCATCAAATTTAGTTAATTATTACCACAAATGTGCATATTAATCCAATTTCAGTGTATTTATTTAGTTAGTTTAAGAGTGTTATGGTTTATTTTAAAACCAGTGGCAGGATATATGATATTTTGGCACTCTGGTGTTATCTGTGCAACCCTTCTGCTAAATCGGCAATTGTCTTTTTCGCCAATCTACCATATGAAATAGAAGTTATTAAAAAAAAAATTAATACTAGCATGCATAAAACAGCAACAAATTAATGAAATTTAAAATGCATTACAAATTTACGACTGACTCATAACATGCATATCTGGAAAGAAAGAATTCCTTAATCTCGCAGCTGCCAAAGGGTTGAAAAATATGACCTATTTTTATAAAATTTTCCAATCATGCAATTCTAGTGGATTAATAGAATTTGTTGCATTAACTGAAGAACAGAACAAAAAAAAAAAAAAAAAAAAAAAAAAAAAAAAAAAGATGTCATCAAAGGCATGTTCAGATTAGAATAATCTTCATAATACAATATGTGTGATAAGACTTTTGGGATTAATGACAGCTGTACAAGTGATTGAGATTATAATAAAAGAAAATACTTGCATGTTATCTGCTTTACTGCATGTTACCTTTTGGTACCAAGATAACTCTGGCAACAATTTGATTACCAGAGATTTAAATTAATGTTACACTAATGCAAATATCCAATTTATGAAATCCTTATTATATTATTATTTAAATTTGAATGCTGTTAATTCCTTGCCACCAAACAGTAAATAAAAATATGGCTGTAATTGATCTGGCTTCCTTCTACTTTATTTTTATAGTCTGTTTTGTGTGTTTTACAGTCTGTTTTAATACACAAATTATATTTTTTTTGTTTCAAACGGAATTTTCAAATACGTGTTGTGGGATTGTCTGCAAGAAAAGCAATGCAGGAAATTTTCTACAGGAATACAGTATTTTGATACAAAATCACTAAAAGGAACAACTGTGTTGTATCTATTTATAAAGCAATCGCCATAAAATCTTCCCAGAACAGAAGAAAGGAAAAAAAAAATAGATACTTTCCGATTTTTATGGCCCCTATTTTTTAAATGTCCCTCCTACCAACAATCATGCACAGTAGATACATTCCTGCCAAGTCTTTCTGGAATACAGTCAAAAGTCGTTAATCCGGACCTCAAAGCTAGAAACTTTCTGCACATGCGCATAATACGTTTACGCATGCGCATTTAATGTATAATAGACGGTATAAGCTAAGCTAAAATGATCTAATTATCTATTTCAGTTAATGTTGCAGATTGTGTTGTTCCTTAATCTTCGAATTGGATCCGGCTTATTATTTTTTGCAGACTGTTAGAGCAATTTTATAAAAGTAAGTTGGAACTTTCGATTATGTCAAATAGAATTTCCGATGCTGGAGCTGCAAAAGGTTCTACAAAGGGAAAGCATGTTTCGATGCCCATCAAACAAAAAGTGGAAAAAGGCTCCTTTGTTTCTCTAACCATTCCGAAATCTGTTTATCAATTTCACGCTGCTCTGCACAGGGGGGGGGGACATCACAGCGCGCAATGAACTGGAAGTTGATCTGTCAGCACTATCCTTATCTTCAGGTCAGATGTTTTTATTTTATTCGGCTTATAATTCCTTATTAAATGTAGTATTTCATCTCGATGTACTCCGTCTTTGATATGATTTAAATCAAATTCCTCGTCATTATAAATATCACGAATACAAATCAAATAGTTTTCTGGTTGCAATTTTCTAATTTTGACTATGTGTAATGTATGTTTTACGCGCATTGAAAGAAATGTTGGGTAATCTTTGAAATATGGTAACAGGTAGTTTGGCAACATTTTGGTAAGGCGATAAAGGTTACTAGCTAGGACTTTAGCAGTGTACATGGATAAAGTCAAGAGTGTGCGCAATGCCATTTTTGTGCAACTTCTGGGATTTTTTTTTAAGTGAAAATAGGTCGACTGTACATGGATGATACCGTGTATATGCAATTCTTAAAAACCGCGGCAAGTAGTTTGCGATTTCTGCACTTTCTCCCAATTTTCGCACATAATCTTCGTCATGGATTAATCACTTTTGTTCCATAAAAGTTCTACCATAAGCGTAATTGGGCTAGCCAGATTGTTGGAAAAAAATGTTGAGGGAGAAAAAAAAAAAAAAAACCTGCCTTTGCTTCGTGAAAACAAAATGGCGTCCAAACAAAAACTAGCAGGTTGCTGTAGCAGGGTTGGTCGCCAAAACATCGCCAAGTTACCATAATCCAAAGATTAACCAAAATGTTTAATAAAGTAAACAAATAAATATTAACCTTTTTTTTGTAAATTTTGATTCTCTTTAGATCATAATTGCTTTTTATTTCATAAATTACAGTTTCATGTTTTTAATTTTATAATTTCTGCATGCCAACTTATCAGATTTAAACTGATGATCTATAATACGGAAAAAATCGATAATCTGGAATCGCCGAAGTCCAGGCGAATCCGGATTAAAGACTTTTGACTGTATCATGGAAGGAAAACCCACCTTCTGACAGCACTATTACACGATCTCATTCAAACTCATTGAGCTGTTGATAATGGCTTCTTCTTCGTCTTTAAAGGCATTCTTGGCTAACATCAATTCATTATGTCAGATCTCAATGATAAAGAATGCTCACATATTTTACAGTACATATTTAAAACAAACATGATTTGCATGTTTATGGTGGCACTACTAGTGCCATAATTATTTACTCAACACAAAATCTGAACAGACCTCATCTTTTAGATGTGCACATTTATCACATTTAATTAACACAACTCCTTCTTGGTGTTAAGATTTTCCCCCCCACGTCAGTGTGTATATGTATTTTAATCATATTCTTAATATACCCACACACTAAATACAATGAGTTTCTGGTTTTATATGAATAGCAGAGATATTATGAGAAAATATGCAAAAGCTTAGAATATAACTACAATATTGCAATGAACTTAGTTTTCCACATCGTTTGATATTGAGAGCGAAATGTTGATAATTTCCTTAATCACATAAAATGGCATAAATGTAGCAAAATCAAACTGCCTGTGGAAAGTAAAAGATTGAGTGATCGAGTTGCCAGCGTCCCCAACTGACATACACAATGTGCACTGCAGATATAAATATGTTAGTGCAGTGGTAATAAAAATAGATATGTTACATCTTTGATGAGTACTAACACATTTTCATAAATTCACCATCACATTACACTCTAATTAAATACATTCAAAATAAGTAAAATACCTTTTATTCCAACTGAAGGAGCTCCAGCAGCAACAGATGCCAACGCATATTCAATTTGAACTAATTTTCCTGATGGACTATTAAAACACAAAGAAAACATAAGTTTAAAATAAGCATGGAATTACATAATTTAATAAGACATCAAAAGCTTTGTATTTTCCAATACTCAAAAATCAAATGCAATTTAATGATATGAAAAATACTTTGAAATAGCAAATGATGCACTACTGTTACAAAAAGTATAGTAAACCATAAGCATAAAAAAGTTTGAAAAATTATACAATCCTGAAATTTTATCTCATTCCACTGATCAACATACACAGATTAGTCTGGATACTAGTTTAAGGGAAAGCCAATCTTTGTAAAATGAATGATGCCTTCCTAAAGGATTTTCTATGGGAAAACTGACACGTGGAGAAAAACATTTAAACACACATGCAGCCTGTTTATTTTCTGGGATTTAAACCTGGGTTGAATTACCCCCAGTATTTAATAATTGAACTACTTGGTCACTGATAGGTTAGTATATTTTACATGCATTACATGCATTTTACTTGGAAACATACAGGCAGAATAATCGTGCAGCTTGAAAAATTATCTTTCACAGAACTTATGCTTAATATAAATTACTCCTAAAAATTGTTTACATCTGCACAGACAGAAAACTTGCTTTGATTTACACCATTATAAAAGTTGAGAAAAATACACAATTGAAAGATTGTTCACCAATTTTAATATAAAAAAAAAGCACTGAGGACTATACCTTTGTAGAGGATTTTTCAAAGCATATCTGAAAGATAATTTATAATTCTAATGATGGTGAAAGACAAAATTTCAAGGTAAGAATCAAACTCTACATTATACCTTATATTATCTAAAGATGTTCTGAATTCAAATTTGGCAGATTTGTCAATTTTTCAGCACAAAGGCACCTGATGGAATTCTGTATTACCAACATACAAAACGGCATTTAGAAATTGTTGATTCTGAAAACATGAAAATATATGGGAAACAAGTAAAAATACCCACTGAAACAGATACAACCTTTGCTTGCCTTCTCAGTGATTTTACGTTAAGATCTTTCAACTGATCAATTTTTAGATGACAGTAATTCTACAAGTCATTCTAATTTAAATGACAGTCGAATCTACGAACACATCGAAATTAAACAAAGTAAGGGCTACAGACTCTCCTGGGTTCCAAATACTTATTCCTCACAAGTAGAGATTTTACTTTTATCAATACAAAATGCTGCAATTTTCCTTGCCATGTTTTGTGAAATATTACACTTGAAAGATAAATAAACAAAAAAATATGAAATTACACATACTTTTATATTATTCAATACAAAAGTTATGTCAGAAACTATGACTTTCAATGAGGATTATACAGTGACTCGGCATTTTTATATACTGCATGAAAAATGAACAATACAAAGTACAGACACAGAAAAAAAAAAAAAAAAAACACGTGTATTTAAAATCAAAATTGAAATAAGTACCTAAAAGTTGTTAATGAAAAACTATAACGTTCTGAAGCCATTATAAACACAATCTGAAGTTGTAAAGCAAACTCTACGCCGGAAATTTAACTTCATGTACTACTTTTCGGTTACGTTTAAGAGACATTTTCCTGCTACGAGGAGCTGCAATTTTCTGCAGTCAATAATGTAAGATAGAGAAGCATTTACTTTTTACCTAACAAGATACGGCAGAATATATTTCTAATTTGATTAAATTTATTTAGTTCACTATTTACCTACATAGATTTTATAAAATGTAAAAATAATTATTATCCTCAGTACTTAAAAAGCTTTAAAAAGAATATTGATTCAATAAAAAATCCTTAAAAATTATAAATTGACTAATTGATCTGGCATATTTGTTAAAATTAAGATTACATAAGTTTTGAAAGTTGATCTGAAACATTTCAAATTACACTTTAAAACCGTAGCCGGAACTCCCAATGTTGGTGACTGCTTTCAAACGTTTGTTTACGAGCATTTTGTGTGCTCCAAGAGGTAAAATGCTGTTTTTTCCTTTTAATCCGTAATCGGTGTGTAAATTTATTAGATATAATGAGCTATACGCAGATTACAAAAGAAATTATTGAGAAACTTCAGGAAGAAAATAGTAACTTATTAGAAACCTTACATAAAGCTCAAGACAACATTAAATTTTTGGAGAAGCAGCTAGCAGATAAAGATGCATTGATAAAGATTTTAAATAACAGACTTCGTTATGGATCCGATAGTTATTCAAGTATGAGTAACAGACAAAATGAATTAACTATTAAACATTTAGAACTTCAAATCGAAAAATTACTGAGAGAAAATCAGGATTTAGAATTGCAAATAAATGCTCTGAAATCTAACATTTGCTCTAGATGTGAAACAAAACTAATTTTAGATGTAGAGGACTACCCTGTTTTTCTACACAGTGGAAAACAAACGTTTCCAGTACCTGCACTTAAAAGACCATCAAGATCTGCTTCTAGTGTAAGTAAAAAAGTTACTGTATCTGAATGTTCAGATCGTCAGAAAACTTTAGAGCGAATAATAGAACATAAAGACAAAAGAATTGATCATTTAGCTAAAGAAGTTCAGAAACTTACTCAAGTAGAGAAAGAATTAACTGCTAAAATTTATAGGCTTACAAAATTGCTTCCAATGTCACATATGTCTCCCGAGAGTCTAACAGAATGTTTACTAAAAGAAATTCAGCAGTTGGAGTCACAGATGCAATGTTACAGTAGCACATATAGTAATTTGCAAAAATCAGATCCTACAAAGCATAAAAAACAGGTTAATGAAATGGAGGGGAAGAAAGATTATGCATTTAAGAATAAAGCTCCTCAGAAGGACGATAACCTCGGAGGTAAACAAGATTTTTCGTTAAAAGGTAAAGAAATTAATCCTGGTATTAAAGGGAAAATAAAATCATTTTATGAAGCAGAATTGGTAAAAAAAGAAGATGAAGTGTTAATGTCCAGTTTACGAGAACTTTATAAAGACATTTGTGAACTGAAACACTTTTTTGCTACTGAAAATGAGAAAGCATGTCAGGCATTCAAACAGAATTCTTTAAAAAATGATTTTCTAAAATTAAATTTGAAGGAAATTATTAATAAATTAAATGGAATTACTGAAAACATTCAACAAATAATTAAAGTTAAACATTTAAAACCTTTTGATTTTAATAATGTCAGTAATTCAGTTCAGCAAGATAATGTTATCTTACGATTGCAAGAGAGGTTACGAGAATCATTAGATGTTATCGCTGGATATGAAAATGAAAATAAGCATTTAAAAGAAGAGCTTTCAACTCTTCAGCATAAAATAAATGTGGAAAGAAATTATCATCAATCAATCTCTGCTGATATGCAGAGATCAATGGATGATAAGGGCACATGGGATAGAAATCGAGCACAAAATACAAATGAAGTTCAAAATATAAAAGAATTACTTGCTATTAAAGAGAGACAACTAAGTGATGCAGAAAATCATATTGAAACACTTCAGAATTATGTTAAATTGTTACAGGCGTTACAAAAGCCATCAGAGGATTCAAAAACTCAGATGTCTTGTGTTAAAGAGAAAATATCAGATACTGATGATGCACTAATTAAGCAACTGAAAACTAAAGAGAAAATATCAGATACTGATGATGCACTAATTAAGCAACTGAAGACTAAGTTAGATGTGGCTGAAAAAAATATTAAACAGTGTGAAGAAGTCATTGAAGATCAACAGAACACTATTTGCAATTTAGAAGAAGAAAATATGAATTTGAAATCTGATTTACATGTGGTTAAAAGTGATAAAGTTTTATCTGAAGTACATAATAAGCAAAATATGACTTTGAAATCTCAGTTAGCACAAGTTAAAAATGAAGTTGCTTTTTTGAAAAGCGAAAATAAAGATTTAAATGATAAAATAATTTTATTAGAAGAAGAAAATTCTAAATTGCTAAATAATTTAAAAGACTCTGATAACAGTAAATTTTCCCTTTCTGAGATTCAAGCTAAATTAAATACTGAAAAGAAATATGCTTGTGACTTAAAAAATACAGTTGGTGAACTAAAAAGTAGTTTGAAACTTTTAGAAGAAGAAAAAACTCAACTTCAGACTCGTTTGAGAGAAGCTGAAACTAGAATACACATGTCTAAATCGTATGAAGAGGATTTGCAATCTTTGAAAAATAAATTGATGTTACAGGAACAGGAAAATCAAAAGTTAAAAGATTCTTTACATGCATTTGAAAGTAAGGCTATGGAAATGAGCTATTATAGAAAAACTTTACACCAAGAAATTGAAAATTTATGTGAGGCATTGCTGGAAAATTCAGATGATGATCGGACTGTTTCCCGCCGTAAAGCCATCTACAAAGCTGCTGTTCTGCGCTCTGCGCAAGCTTTGTTAAGACTTGGTGAAGATTCAAAATTAGAAGACTCTGGAAAAAGTAATGCTCTTGATGAAATGAAACACCATGTTCAGGTTTATCTCACTGAAGTTGCTCGCATTCATGAATTGTTGACAATAAAAGAACAGCAAAGAGAAGAATTGCTTAAAGAATATCTTGAAATAAATGAGTCATTAGACTCAGCAATGCAAGGTTCTTCATTAAAACATGAATTACTTGTTCATGATGACATTCCAGGAGAAAAACAAGAATCTATGCCACATGCTGAAGCTGCTTGTGGTGCTTCAGGTACTAATGCAAATTCTTCTGGAACTCTTGCAGGTATAAGTGATAAAGGTACTGAAACAAAGAAGGCTAACAATTTAAAAAAATCTGAGCAACATGTCTTAGGAGAAACTGGAAATGAAATTAAATCAGTTGTGGAAGATTTAAATGCATCAAAAATTCTCAATTCGTATCTCCTGTCTAGTTGTTCCAAATTGGAAGAACAACTTGAAAAAGAAAGAACAGAACATGCAAAATGTGAGAAAGAGTTAGAAGTGATTAAAGAGAATATGCAGGAGGTAAAAATGCAACTAAATGTAAAAAATGACATGCTGAAAAGGTTTAACACAATCATTGAGATGATGCGTTCGAAAGAGTGCAATGATGAGATCACTATGGAGCAACTGAAAAGTGAAATAAAGTGGTTAATAGATGAAAATCAGAAAATATTTGAAAAAATAACTGCTACACAGTCTGAATTATGCAAGTGTAAGGAAGAAAATTCACGAATTCAAAATGATCTTGCTGATATGAAAAGACAGCTTGTGAATGAAAAATTTGAGCATGCAAAAGTTAACAATGAGCTGAAGCATTTACGTATGCAGATATCTAATTCTCATTCATCATTAAATGGTGATTCATAACATAATCGTAATCAGTGAGAAATTAATCTCCTGTTAAGTTATTAAATTAATTTATTTACTAACTGATGTAATTGCGTAAGTATTTAAATAATTTTATTTACTATTGCAATTGTGAAATAATGTAAATTATGATTTTGTATAATGATTTTAGTATGTAATTTAAAAGTATATATATTTTGATATTTGTGTAATGTAAATTATGATCAAACTTTTTAAATCTTTTGTTAGTATTTTGTAATGTATATATTATTGGCTGTTCTTAAATTTATTTTGTTATGTAAAATACTGCATCAGCAGTTTAGTGTAAATGTAAAATATATGGGCAAATGTATTTAAAAATTTGCATCTGTAATAAAAGTTCAATGCAGGCAAATCTGAAATGAGCGAAAAATCTGGATTTGTATTAACTTTTTTCAGCAGTATTTAGTAAAACGCCTGAAGTCATAGGAGTAAAACTGTATGTAGTCATATAAATATTTTGATAATTTTTATTTTGTATTGTTTAGCTTATTGGTTTTCAGCAATTCATTGAGTTTTCATGTATAGCTTAATCATGTTATAGTGCTTTTCATTACAGTCTAAATCTGTTTTATTAATAAGATGCATTTGCAGAAGAAAACCCCATAAGTTCATTTACATTTATGACTTTTAAACTACAGTTCTTGGATATACGTTGCATCATTTAACTCATGATTTTGCTTTTGATGTTCCATAATACTACAGTAATATGAGACTTATGAAACTGATACCAAATATGAATTGAATCTGTTGTATGATTAAGAGTTTTTAGAACTTTTCCTTTAGTAACATTATTTCAGAAAGATGCCAAAGTATTGTGCCAAATGGTTTATCTGATTATTATTAGTGTATCTCTTATAAAGTGATACAAAACTTGTTCACTGTTTAAAAACATATTTAAACAGTGAACAGTGATATTTATTTTTATTATATTTTGTATGACATTTATTAAATTTGATTAGTATTTAATTATTTTCCTATTGACCTTAAAAATTTCACAGATTCTGCCAAGCTTGCACCAACGAATCTGGTGGAAATTTGAAAGAACAGACCACTGTGTTTAGTCGGGTGGTTTAATCCTTGTATGCAGGATACATGGGATTTGGCGATATTAAGAGGAGCAGTAAAGTGGTGAATCTTCGGATTATGGTAACTCGGTGAAAATTTGGCGACCAACCCTGCTACAGCAACCTGCTATTTTTTTTTTTTTTGGACGACATTTTGCTTTTACGAAGTAAATGCATGTTTTTTTTTTACTCAACATTTTTTCCAACAATCTGCTAGCCGAATATGCTTATGCTAGAAACTTTTATGGAACAAAGTGCTTATATGACGAAGATTAGGTGCAAAATGGGCGAAAGTGTAGATCGCCACTGCTGCGAGTTTTTAAGATGATTAACGGTCTCCAGGTACAGGTCGACTATTTTCACTTAAAAAAAATCACAGAATTGCACAAAAAAATGGCATTGCGCACACTCTTCACGTATCCATGACAATCGACCTATTTTCACTTAAAAAGTCATAGAAAATTGACCAAAAAATCCAATTTACTTACTCTTGTAAAAAGCGCCAACAAATAAGTGGGCGATTCTGCACTTTAGCAGCGAAATTGTTCTAAGTGCTAGAGCAAAATCCCATTGGAATTTTCCGGAAAATTCACATTAAGTATATGATCTCTCATTTCTCGAGACAAATAAATCCGTATTCGAACGTGTACTCCTCAGCGTTGCTAAGTCCTCGCTAGAACTTTATCGCCTACAAAATGTCGCCAAACTACCTGTTACCATATTCTAGAGATTAGCCGCAGTAAATGCAGTATTTATGATGAGTAGTAAACGGATTATTTTTGTTTTCCCAACAATTTTCAAAGTTGAGGTCGTATCGTATACTAGGATTTTACTATCAGGTTTAAATAGAAGAGCTAGGCTCATTCTTTTGTGTGACTCCTTGCCATTGCAATCCTCGTAAGGGGGTTAACAGGAAGTAGTCTACTGTCACTATGTTGCATCTGTTCTGTGGACATCCCAAATTAATTTCAAGCACTTATATTGTTTTCTAGTAAAGCAAAGTCAAATTAGTAGCTGTCAAAGTAATTTTATGCTACCTACGAATACATTTCCTGTAATTTAATTAGCATTATTATGACAAGAATTTGAAGAAAATGTTTAAGATTTTAATGGTCTGTACTCCAGTTTTATGTTATATGCATTACCAAAAATTAACGTAATTATATGGAAAATCTAGAAATAGATCTAATTAATTTACATTGTGTTGTAAATCTTGTTCAAAGATTTTAAGATACAAATTTGATTAACTTTTAGTATACTTGTCCAAAAATATCTTAAGTTACGAATTTTTCTGATAAGAATACTAGCTTTGTTTTTGAGTACATTTACACAAGAACAGTTTTTTCATAGCTGAAAATTAATAAGTCTACAAAAAGAACCAGACTGACGATGAGTATCTACAATTTGTGATGATACTTTTTAATAATTTCCCTCTAAAATTACAAAATGAAAATTGAAACGTCATGAGGTGGTGTAGTTGAAAGATGTTTACAATAATTTATGTACAAATATTATTTTTCTGTTTTATATCATGGAAAAATCTAGTAAGTGAAAGAAAGAGACTAAGTTTTCATTATTTATTCTCAAGTTTTTGTCTCTCTTGGGAAGTTTTAGTGTATTTCTTTTTAGTTTAAATAAAAGTGAGTTACTTAGTAGTTTAGTTTATTATATTAGTTGAATAAATGTCAGTCTGAAAATTTTAATATTTAGCTGTCAGATTTTAATATGTAGCTGTCTGTTTGAATTCCAAATTATGACCAACAAAAATTTCTTGCACATACCAACTTCTAGATTTCTGGCAAACTGTGAGTATAAATTTGATACTTTTCTTTGCATTATTTTTATTCGTATGATTTTACAAATGTGTCATAAAAAGTTTTTAATTTAATTAACAAATTTTGTTTTGTTAAAAAAATAAATCCTGCCTTTTTTTTATAATTGCTGCTCATCAGCTAATTTCAGATTGTAAATTGGCCAGCATGTAGTGTAAGTCTGAGACCACAGTTGTAAAATATCGTTTATGTAATATGTCTTCTTGCATTGTAACAAAATGCCATAAAATTCATGGAAGTCATAATTTTTATGGCACTGTGATTAAATATAAACTGTGCAAATCCATGTCTATTCAGACATGTCTCTGGTACATACATGTATAGGTTGTCTGTTGTCATGCATATACTTGAAAATATGTTAAAAACATGGCAGTTTTATTACATGTTGAAATAAGGGTTGCAGATAATCAGAAAATATCTTAAAAATTAGCATGGATAGAGCTGATAAAAAATCATTATGAAGACTGTTGTTCAAAAACATGTTTTTCAGACTACAGTCAAAAGTCGTTAATTCGGACACCCATAATCCGGAATGATCTATAATCTGGACCTCAAAGCTAAAATCTTTCTGCGCATGCGCCGCGTTGACGCATGCTCATAGGCGTTTTAAGCGTGCGCGCAAGACATTTACGACTGCACATATGCTTCTGCGCAAGCGCAGAATGCAGAATACGTTTTCGCGTGCGCGTTTAATGTATAACGGACGGTGTAAGCTAAAATTATCTAATTATTTATTTCAGTTAATGTTGATGATTGTGTTGTTCCTTAATCTTCGAATTGGATCCGGCTTATTATTTTTTGCAGACTGTAAGAGCAATTTTATAAAAGTAAGCTTGAACTTTCGATTATGTCAAATAGGATTTCCGATGCTGGAGCTCCCAGAGGATCTAGAAAACGAAAGTATGATTCGATGTCCATCAAACAAAAAACAAATTGCTACAAAAAATGGACAAAGGTATATCCTTTGTTTATCTAACTGTTCCGAAATCTGTTTATCTATTTCACGCTGCTCTGCGCGCGGGAGGGGGGATGTCGCAGCGCGCAATGAACTGGAAGTTGATCTGTCACCACTATCGTTATCTTCAGGGCAGATGTTTTTATTTTATTCGGCTTATAATTCCTTACTAAACGTAGTATTTAATCTCGATGTACTCTGTCTTTGATATGATTTAAATCAAATTCCTCGTCATTATAAATATCACGAATACAAATCAAATAGTTTTCTGGTTGCAATTTTCTAATTTCGGCTATTCGTAATTTATGCATGCGCGCGTTGAAAGAAATGTTTAATAAAGTAAACAAATAAATATTAAGCTTCGTTTTGTAAATTTTGATACCCTTTAGATCATAATTGCTCATTATTTTATAAATTACGGTTTCATATTTTAATTTTATTATAATCTGCATGCCATCTTACCAGATTTAAACTGATGATCTATAATCCGGAATCGCCGAAGTCCTGACGAGTCCGGATTAAAGACTTTTGACTGTATATGAATTTTGAAGGATTGGAGTACTGTGTTTGACGGCATATGAGACGCACTTTTTTTCCTAAATTTGGTCTAAAAAAAGTTACCTGCGTCTTATAACGGGAAGGACACAGGTTAACTCTCAATACTGAATGCTATTTTTAGCTTGGATAAAGGTCTAGACACACATAACATTTTCTACATCTGCCATAATTATTTTGCGCATGCGTGAAATATCTGTCGCCGAAAAGCGTCAAAGCTCGAAGCTGATGTCGAAGTTCGAACAGGTTCGACGGTCATATTATGTCTATGGAGCCTTCCTTCTTACATAGACTTCTTTGACTCAGCCGACACATGTGTCGGTATCGGTGTTGCTCTGTATAAACGTGCCGGTATCAGTGCTTAAAAACTATTTGTTTAAAAAAATATCCTGGAAAATATGAAACAGGAAACAAGAGATAAGCTATACAATTCAGTAAAAACTAGGAGTATTAAACTACGCCAAAGTGCATGGAAACATAGCAGCAGCAAGGCATTTCGGTCCACCGCTTACCGAAAAAATAATACGTACTTGGCGACTGCAGGAAGATCAACTGAAGACTGCTAAAAAATAAAAACATAACCTTTGATCCCCAGCTCCATCTTGGCCTGAACTTGAAAATGTTGTATGTGGGTGATAGATAAGAGGAAATCTGGGAAATTAATGAGGTTAACGA